ATAAATTGGGTCATGTATCTCCTTAAAACTAATGTCAATTATAACCCGTGAAATTGCCAACTTTAAGTGCCAAACAGTAGTCCGTGCACAATTACCTGGAGCTGCGTAACCGATTGATCCTTTTATAGCAATAGTACTGCTGGTTCCCTGCTGGGAAGATCGGTTGTTGGGATTTGGTAGAAGCCTTGCCAATCCAAAATCACCCACATGGGCAACAAGATCATTGTCAAGAAGAATGTTACTTGGTTTTAGATCACAGTGAACAATCTCAGCTTCGCAGTGGTTCTGAAGATACTGCAATGCTGAAGCTACATCAATTGCAATGTTCAGCTTCTGAGAAAGATTAAGACTTCTTGAGCTTGTTGCCTGATCAGTTGTATCTGCAGGATGCAGCCACAAGTCTAGATTCCCATTTTCCATGAACTCATAGACTAGAGCTTTGAATTCATCACCCCTGGAATCAATACTGGAGCAATAACTCACGATAGAAACGAGGTTTCTGTGGCGAATATTTCTCAATGTTTTACACTCAGCCTTAAAACTTTTTTAGCTCCGTTCTTTTGAAGATCAAGAACTTTAACTGCTACAAGCTTATTGCCATGTTTTTCTAGTGTGCCTTTGTAGACAGCTCCAAAATGTCCTGAACCAATTAAGTTTTCTGGAGAAAATCCTGAAGTTGCACGATGAAGTTCATGGTAAGAAATTCACATGAGCTCATCGATTCTTGGGGGCATGCTAGAGAATCCTGCCACCATTCTTCTTTCTCTTTTTCGATGTACCAAGAGATATAACAACACTGTACCAAGAACCAGAAGCGTTGCCGGTAACACAATGGACAGCAATATGATAACCTTCAGCTTTCCTCTATTTTTCCCTCTGATAACTCTGCAAGGTGGGAACTCCAATTCTGGAATTCCTCCACAGAGTTTGTTGTTGCCAATCAATGATATTTGACTTGCATTGCTGAAAATCCCTGTGTTTGGTAGCTCTCCCTCGATGTCGTTATAGGAAAGGTTTAAGTACCTCAAAAACTGAAGCTTCTCAAGTTCTCTGGGTATTGGACTAGTCAAGTTATTACTCGAAAGGTCTATTTGCTGGATGCTCTTCAAAGAAGCCAAATTTGGTGGAATTGTTCCTTGGAAAAAATTGGCTTGCATGGAAAGCTTCACTAGATTTGAACAATCAGCAAGTGATATGGGTATATCTCCAGCAAGTTGGTTGTGGGAAACATTGAAATCCACCAAATGTATAAGCTTTCCAATTTCAGAAGGCAGAGAACCGCTAAACGAATTTTCACCCATTTTCATGTACATCAGTGATGAGTGCGTCTGTAAAAACTGTGGTGATATAATTCCAGTAAATTTGTTTTGAGATATATCCAGATATTGCAAATTTTGACAGTTCATAAGAACATTGTCAAATATATTACCCCCTTCAAACTGGTTAGTTGATAACTCTAGACGGTATAAAGCAGTGGCATTACATAGGGTAGAGACTATCTGTCCTGACAACTCATTTTGGGCTAGACCCAGAAGTTGCAAATTTTGTAATTTGCCAAAATCTCTTGGAATGAGCCCAAAAAGAGTGTTTGCTTCAAGGGTAAGGATATATAAATTGACAAGATGTCCAAACCCTTCTGGAATAGTTCCTGACAGTAGATTTCCCCCCATGTACAATTCAGTGAGTTGATATGAGAGATTGGCCATGACTTTAGGTATATTACCTCCAAAATTATTGCCACTCAACGAAAAAATGCTTAGATCACTGCAGTTGGTCAGATTGTTGAAGCCCAGGCTGAGTCCGATCAATGATGATGATAAGTTCCCAATGGAGGAGGGAATCTCTCTTGTCAAATTGTTTGAATAAATATTAAAATTTTGAAGCTTCTTCAAATTGCTCAGCTGATCCATCGGAATTTTCCCTTCCAGATTGTTCCCCGCTAGGCTAATATTTATCAACTCTGAGCAGTAGCTCAGGTTTGCTGGGATTTTTCCACTGATTGCGTTACTTGAGAGGTTCAAGACTCTCAGCTTGAAGAGGCAACCGAATTCTTGGGGAATCCCACCACGGAATTGATTCTCCTCAAGATGGATGAACCTCATGAAGCTTAGATTTCCGACATGAGGAGATACGGTTCCAGACAATTGCTTATGCCGTAGAGTCAAGGCTATGACCCTTTGATGTCGAGTACCACATGTGACTCCTTCCCACTGACAATGGTGTTGTGAATGGTTCCAGGAATTCAGGACTCCAAATGGATCATCGTATATTTGATTCTTGAATTCGAGCAGAGCAAGACGATCAGTCTCATTTTGAAATTGTTTAGAAGCTAAAACATGGCTTACTGAAAGGTTCATGGCAACTAAGAGAAGGAGAAATATGTTTGCTAATGTTGATGATGAGCGAAATCCCCACATGGTATTGGGAACTTCAATGAGCTGTTGGATGCGAAGATGGAATAATTTGCAACAAATTGATGATTGAATGATAAAAGTTTCTGTGGAATGGGAACAATGTTTGAGCTGTTATAGATTCTTGTAGTTCTGCTCTATAGATTCTTGGAACGAAATATGGACTTAATTTTCTTGGTATATTTTCGAGTAAAATGAGCTAAACTTCGTTGTGAGAACTTAATACAGAAATGGTCAGCGAGCTGTTACAGATTCTTGTAGTTCTGCTTTATATAGTCCACACAACTGGAACAAATGGACTTAGGCACCGTTGTTCGCGGTTGCAGTGCTTTTGGTAAAAAAAAAAGAAAGAAAAACACTTTTAGGTGTTAAAAGTATTTTTAAAGTGTTTGGTAAATATCATCGCATAAAATTAGGAATAGAGCTTTTGGTGATAAAAACACTTTTAGCAAAAGCTCAAATTTGATGCTTTTAGAGTAACCTTTGTGATTTAAAAAAAAATAAAACATCAAATTAAATCATTTTAGCCTATATTATGAATCAAATAAAGAGATAAACACTTTTAAATATTTTCAAATTACACGTTATCCAATACAATAAGTACTTATTGAACTATATCCCCAAATAATATATTTAAAAGTAACTAAGCAGTTAATAAGTATTTTTTATTAAAAATTCTATACTTTTTTAATAATTTAACACGACCCAAACGGGCCCTTAATTGTCTTGGTATTTATTTTTGGAGAAAAATTAGCTAAACTTCGTCATCAGAACTTAATTCAGAAATGGCCCAACTTACAATTCAGTAACCTAATAAAACAAACACGCAAGATGATTATTGGTCCTTTACGTGTCAACGTCTATCAATTTGGAAAATGGCCTGGACAGAGAATATATAGAAATCAAATGTGCCTCTATTTCTAAATTCTAGCGTGCATTTTTCAGTCAATCTGCCTAGGGAGTCAGTTGCTCAAAAACATACAAAACTGAGCACAAATAATTTATCTGAGGTCGGAGAAAATTTATAATTTTCTTCGTCTTACTTGGTTATATTTTTATTTATTCCTTTTTCGTCATCTTCTAATTAACAACCAACCTAATGTCTTCTCTCAACTTGCACTTCTTTGTGTGTTTTACGAGATGTCAACCACAATTTTTGCGATGACTAGTCAGCGGCGGATTTATATGTAGGGGCATGGAGCACTGAATTCCATTAGCATAGCCTTCAATTTTAGTAATTTTTTCGCTTTGCCCCCCAATAAATTTTCCTCAAAAGTGAATGCACTGCTCCAAAATCAAATGACTAGGTTTGCAATTTGGCGGAATTGGAATACTAAACAATTCAAAATCAAATGCTTTTTACTCTAATCATTTAGTTTCCTTGAAAGTCATTTTAATTTACTACTCATTAGTTAAATGCTTTCTTTGGGCTTTTTCCAATAAAATAAATATAGAATTAAGTAATCGTTTGTGAAATGAAAAATAAAGAGAAAGTAATATTTTCAAATACAGCATACTTAACAATATCGTAGGCAAACGAGCACTTTAAAAATGTTTAGCATGCTTTTTAAAAGAAAATGATTATTTTATTAGTAAGTTTTAGCATGTCATTTTGGGTTATATTAATCATGATATGCGCGTATTACATTTACTTGTTGTACAAATGTTACTGTTATGTCTTTCAAAAAAAAAAATAAGAAGAAACTTTAATATTGGTGGCTAAAAAACTTCTTTAATCCAATCTTCAAATGCTCAAGCAGAGTTGTGCCGGTTGACTTCAACCATGGTTCAAAGTCGCGGTCACGGTCGCGGTCGCGACTTGGACCGTTTCACATCGGTCTCGGCATATCGGTCGCGGTCTCGGCGAGACGTGAATTTTTAAAATATTTAATATTTTAAAAATTGAAAAAAATATGATAAATAAAAATAATTAAAAATTAGTAAAAATAATAATAATTCAAATTGACTCGGGATGACTCGGAGTGACTCGGTGTGATTCGGCCGTTTCAACCCTTCACGGTGACGTCTCGGCCTGTCACGTATCTCGGAAACGTTTCATCGCGGTCTCGTCTCGGGCTAGGCCGAGACGGAGACGACTCGGCCTAGACGTCTCGGTCTCGGCCGAGTCTTTGAACCATGACTTCAACTGTTAAATCAGCATGACTCTAACCACAAAACAAGAAAATAAAATGGTTGAAGGATACATTTATTTTCAAAGCAAAAATTCATAAGCATGTATTTCTTCATGAGTGCACAAGCTAGCAGTTTCACTTTGGAGCTTCAGATCTGCATACAGCTGCAAATCCAAAGAATGCCACATCTTAGCAGTTAGCACCAAGAAGATACCCACTCCCATGCTAGGGAGTGAATTCAGAGTGTGAAATTAAAAGTGTACCTGTCAAGCCTCAAGATTTTCTTGATGCACCCTGATACCAAGAAACACGTCCTTAATGAGATGTAATTTTCTCAGAACTTCATTCATGTGCATCCGCTCGTTTGGTAATCTTGCAGAGCACTCGAGTCCAATTGTCAACAGGGAAATAATACACTCCATCTCTCTTCTGCCATTAATCTTTTCCTCTCCTGGAGTCATTTCTCTGTACTGATCTCCTCCTTTTGAAAGAAGTAACAGGTCCACAATCTTGCAAACTTGTTCAGGCAGAGCCACATTAACATAGTTATGAAGATTTAGGCCATCAGTTAATATATCATCTGTTGGCCTCCTTCTTGTGATCATCTCCAGCGGAAATATCCCATAGCTATACACATCGCCTTGAGTTGATGCAGGGAGACCCATCCCGTACTCTGAAATTTTCTTTCAATATGTTACTCTGATGAAAAGGAACTCAAGGCAACTCTTCGAAATAGGATTAATGAATCAAGTGTGAGAAATCGTAACTGAGTAGAAGCAAAATGAATATGCTTTGCACAAATAACTGGCTTTGGTCAGGGGTAATTAATTCAACCATAAAAGTACACAACTATAAAAATATAATTTTATTATTAAAAATTTCTAATTAAATTAGCTTGAATTTTTTTCACAGAGAATCTAGTATTGTTTAAGAACCAATGATTCAATTTGGTTTAGGTTCTTTGTATCTACAAATCTTGACCATATCGTAATAGATTGGAATTGGATATAAATTACCTGGAGCTGCATATCCGATTGATCCTTTAATTGCAACAGCACTGCTGGTTCCCTGGTCAGAAGAAGTACTGATGGTTTCAGGAAGAAGCCTTGCTAATCCAAAATCACCTACGTAAGCAACGAAGTCATTGTCAAGAAGAATGTTGCTTGGCTTCAAATCACAATGAACAATTGTTGTTTCACATTGGTTGTGAAGATAATGCACCGCTGTGTTATGGTACAGAAGCCAAAGGGCAGAAAATATAAAAGGAAGCAAACTTGACTGCAATGTTCAGCAGTTGATCAATGGAACAGTAATTGAATTGAGCTCAATTTCATTAATGAATCTGAAACAAATTACAAGAATAGAGGTAATGAATTTAGCTAAGAAGGTGTAAGATCAGAAGGAAAATTTTGGAGGGAAAGTATGAGGATTGTTCCTCAAGCTATTACAACTAATCTGGACAGAAAATGATTCAAAAGCTTTTTCTCGATTAAGCAGACAGGCCTGCTTATATAGTTATTAGCTTCTAACAGATTTCTAATAGCACCAAATAAGGTTCAAACACGTGTCCCAATTGCAGCTGCAAGTTGCTGGAAGTTGCCGTGCTTCTTGGCTTTCTGTTAGAACAGATGAAACCCAGCAAAGGCGTGGCTTAGCTTACGCGCCTTTGCTGAAGTGCTTCCTCTTGATCACGCCTTCAGTTACTGGATTCCACGCCTTCTACCTTCCTTCTTCCTAGCACGTAAATTCTATTTTAGTCTAACTCCTACATTCATTACAATACCTCCCCTTCATAAGACCTTTGTCCTCAAGGTCGGAATTGGGGAAACTTCTCTCTTATCTGCTCAGCATCTTCCCAAGTTGCTTCTGCTGGTTCAGTACCCCACCACTGGATAAGCCATTGAGTCACAGCTGCATTCCTCCTCGTGATCATCCTCCTGCTTAATAGTGCCACAGGTTCTACTCTAACCTGCCCCCTTTCATCAGTGTCTGGTAGTTGCAGGATAGGTGTAGTCAGGTCCCCGAGCTTCTTCTTAAGCAGAGACACATGGAACACATGGTGGATCCTTGATGTAGTAGGTAGCCTGAGCCTGTAGGCCACCTTTCCAATCCTTTCCTCTATACAGTAGGGCCCAAAGTACTTAGCAGATAATTTGGTGTTGTTCCTGATCATCACAGATGACTGTCTGTAAGGTTGCAACCTCAAGTATACCCAATCTCCAACCTAGAATTCCCTTTCACTCCTATGTTCATCAGCATACTTCCTCATCCTCTCCTGGGCAGCTTTTAGGTTGTGTTGCAATAGTTCGTCCATTTTTTTCCTGTCTCTTATGTAATCCTCCACTGTTGCCACCTTAGTTTGCATATAGGGTCCAAGTGCTCGCTGGGGAGGCTTAGTCCTATACAAAGCCTCGAAAGGGCTCATCTGTACAGCAGTGTGGAAGGTGGTATTATACCACCATTCTGCCAAGGATAACCAGGAGTTCCACCTCTTTGGTTCCAGGTGAGTCATACACCTGAGATATATTTCTAACACTTGGTTTACCCTTTCTGTTTGACCATCTGTTTGGGGGTGGTAAGCTGTACTTAGGCTTAATCCTGCCCCCAATAGTATGAATAGCTCAGTCCAGAATTGGCTGATAAAGACCTTATCCCTATCTGAGATCATACTTTGTGGAATGCCATGTAGCTTACTGACATGATCCAGGAAAATTCTAGCTATTTTGGGGGCATCAAAAGGGTGAGATAAGCTCATGAAGTGAGCATACTTAGTAAACCTGTCGACTACAACCAGGATAGTGTCCTTCCCTTCTGATTTGGGTAGCCCCTCTATGAAGTCCATGGTGACATGACTCCAAGAGTGTTGTGGGATTGGGAGGGGTTGGAGCAGACCTGGATAAGCCACACGTTCATCCTTACATTTCCTGCAAGTATCACACTGTAATATTGTTGCCTTGATCTCCTTGAACATACCTGGCCAATAAAATAGCTGTTTGGCTCTTATCCAGCTGGCCTGTATGCTTGAATGTCCCCCTAGCTGGGAGTCATGAAGGGCAGAAATGAGTTTCCTCCTTATTTCTCCCTCCTGTCCTACTACAACTCTTCCCTTATATCTTAGAATTCCATTCTGATAGCTGTAGACTGAATCCTGCTCTGGAGCTGCTAAGATTCCCCTGATGAGATCTTGAGCCCAAGAATCACCAATGTAGCTTTCCATCACCTCTTTCATCCATTCTGGTATAACTGTTGTAGTTGCTGCACACTCAGCTCCCTCCTTTCCCCTTCTGGAGAGTGCATCAGCTACTATATTTTCCTTCCTCTTTTTGTAGCATATCTCATAGCTCAGTCCCATCAGCTTAGTCAACCACTTCTGTTGGAGGGGGGTGGTGATCCTCTGTTCCAGCAGATATTTCAAACTTTGGTGGTCAGTATTGATGATAAAATGGTGCCCCTCCAAGTAATGCCTCCACTTAGTGACTGCTGTGACTAAGGCCAGCAGTTCCTTTTCATAAATTGACATTCCCAAATTCTTCTGTCCCAAGCTTTGACTGAGGAAAGCCAATGGTCTCCTATTCTGCATCAGAACAGCCCCTATCCCTCCATAGCAAGCATCTGTCTCTATCACAAAAGGCTGGGTGAAGTCTGGAAGAGCTAGTACGGGGGTACTACACATAGCTAACTTCAACTTCTGAAAAGCATCTTCAGCCTCCTCTCTCCAGTTGTAGCCATCTTTCTTGAGGAGGGTAGTTAAGGGCTTTGCAATAGCACCATATCCCTTGACAAACTTTCTGTAGTAACCAGTTAGACCAAGAAATCCCTTCAGCTGCCTGGTGTTTCCTGGTCTTGGCCACTGCATCATGCTGTCAATTTTCTTGGGGTCAGCTCTTACTCCTTCTGCTGAAATGATGTGGCCTAGATATTCCACTTGCTTCTGAGCAAAAGAGCACTTACTCTCTTTTGCATAGAGCTGGTGTTGTCTCAGAATCTCCAGGACCTCAGTAACATGTTTGATATGTTTTTCTATAGTAGGGCTGTAGATAAGTATATCATCAAAAAATACCAATACATGCTTCCTTAGTTGTTTCTGAAATACCTGATTCACCAGGCCCTGGAAAGTTGCGGGTGCATTGGTCAGCCCAAATGGCATGACCTTAAATTCATATAATCCTTGATGTGTCCTGAAGGCTGTTTTGAGAATGTCTTCTTCACGTACTCTTATTTGGAAGTACCCTGCTCTGAGGTCAATTTTAGAGTAGTACTTGGATCCATGCAGTTCATCTAGTAGCTTATCAATAAGGGGCATAAGGAACTTATTCTTGACTGTGAGGTCGTTCAGTTGCCTGTAATCCACACAAAATCTCCATGAGCCATCTTTCTTCTTGACCAGAAGTACTGGTGAAGCAAAAGGGCTGCTACTCAGCTGAATGATCCCAGTTTACAGCATCTCCTGCACTAGTTTCTCAATCTCAGACTTCTAGATGTAAGGACACCTATAGGGCCTCATTTGGAATGGTTTTGCCCCCTCTTTGAGAGTGATGCAGTGATCCTGGCTCATCTCAGGAGGTAGTCCTTGAGGTTCCTGGAATATATCCTTAAATCTCTGCAGCAGCTTCTCCATTTCTGGTGATGTTGGCTCAGGGTCTGGCTTTTTATCTTCTACTGCACTCACTTGTGCAAGAATTCCATATGCTTGTTTCCTGGTCCACTTGTATAATCTACTCCCCCTTATTAGCTTCAGCTGCATTGCATTGCCCTCCCCCTTTAATTCAACTTGCTGCTTACCCTTTTTGAACCTCATACTTAGTCCTCTGAAGTCAAACTCCATTGGACTGTACCTAGCTAACCAATCAACTCCTAGTATCATATCGCACCCCCCCCCAACCTTAGAGTATTGAAATGATGCTGGAACTCATATCCCTGCATCTTCCATGTCACAGGCTTGGTGATGCTCCTAGACTGCAGCCTTTCTCCATTGGCCACTCTAACTGACAGAGCCCCCCCTTTGGTTTCCAACTTCAAGCTCCTAGCCACTTGTTCATCCATGAAACAATGTGTACTGCCACTGTTAACTAGGGCAATAATGGTCTTCCCTTTAATCGTCTCCTTTATCCTGATGGTTTTGTGCTCACTTCCCCCTACCAAAGCATGGATAGAAACTTCTATATGCTCATTTTCTAATTCTCTCTCAATACAGTCACAGAATACATCAGTCTCACCCCTCTTCTCCCCTTCTTCCTCAGTAACTGGTATCTCCCCCTCCTCCATAACTAACAAGTTTAAATGGGATTGTTTACAGGCATGTCCAATAGTATATGGCTCAGCACATTTGAAGCAAAGTCTCTTCTCTCTCCTATGGTTGAGCTCTGCTGGGGTAAGTCTTTTGAATTGGTTCTGAGTATTAGAGTGGTTATTGTAGGTTTTGGGGGCCTATTTATCAGGTAATTTGGGGTAGCTTGGGGTTCTGTCAGGAAATTTGGAGTGGTTTGGGATTTTAAGCAAAGGTTTCTGGTAGTTGGGGCTGTAAGGAGGGGCTTTGTGGATCTTCTGTAAGGCTCTCAGGTTCCTCTCCTGCAATTTGGCAGCCTCTACAGCATCTGCCAGTGTTTTGGGTTTGGCTAATTTCACCATAGTTACTATTTCTTCTTTTAATCCACTTAGGAAGCATGTTCTGTAATAACAATCTTGCTGATGAGGAAGGGAAGGCATTACCAGGGCTTTAAGCATTTCAAATTTCTCCAAGTAGTCAGCTACTGAGCCTGTCTGCATCAATTTGTTGAATTCCTCTATAGCCTCCTCAGGGGAACCGTCTCCAAATCTTTCACATAGTGCATTGCATAGCTCTTCCCATGGAATAACCTCCCTGCCATTGAACACACCATGAAACCATATATCTGCCTTATCCCTGAAATAGAGTTCTGCAACCTCAGACTTCATTTCCTCCTCTACTCCATTGATCTTGAAATATTTGTTGGCCTTCCGGATCCACTCCCTTGGGTTCTCACCTGCGAATGGTGGCAGATCCACCTTGGGTAACCTGGTGAATGCTCTGCCTTCTCTGAGTTTAGATCTATCCAGAATTCCTTTCTGCATCTCCTTTCTCCTGCCCCCTTCCTGATGTCCTGATTCTAACTCTGAGCTGCTGCCTTCCACATCTTTTCCTTTGTCGTTCAGTTTGGCTAACATTTGTGCCATCATGCTCATCATGCCTTCATATTTTTTATCCAGGTTTTTGAGAGCCTTCTCAGTGCCCTCCTGTTTGTGCTCCATGATCCTCACAGCTTGCTCCAGTCCATCACTTCTGTTAGCAAAAGTTCTAACCACACTCCCTAGTTCAGTTATGTCCTTTCTTATTTCGTCTTGGTTTTTAGTCATTTTCCCAATGGCTCGTAGCTAGCTCTGATACCACTGTTATGGTACAGAAGCCAAAGGGCAGAAAATGTAAAAGGAAGCAAACTTGACTGCAATGTTCAGCACTTGATCAATGGAACAGTAATTGAATTGAGCTCAATTTCATTAATGAATCTGAAACAAATTACAAGAATAGAGGTAATGAATTTAGCTAAGAAGGTGTAAGATCTGAAGGAAAATTTGGGAGGGAAAGTATGAGGATTGTTCCTCAAGCTATTACAACTAATCTGGACAGAAAATGATTCAAAAGCTTTTTCTCGATTAAGCAGACAGGCCTCCTTATATAGTTATTAGCTTCTAACAGATTTCTAACAGCACCAAATAAGGTTCAAACACGTGTCCCAATTGCAGCTGCAAGTTGCCGTGCTTCTTGGCTTTCTGTTAGAACAGATGAAACCCAGCAAAGACGTGGTTTAGCTTACGCGCCTTTGCTGAAGTGCTTCCTCTTGATCACGCCTTCAGTTACTGGATTCCACGCCTTCTACCTTCCTTCGTCCTAGCACGTAACTTCTATTTTAGTCTAACTCCTGCATTTCATTACACACTGAAGCAACATCAATTGCAATATTCAGCCTCCGAAAAAGATTAAGGCAGCTGGATGTTGTTGCTTGATCAGTTGTTTCTGGATGCAACCACAAGTCAAGATTTCCATTTTCCATGAACTCGTAAACTAGAGCCTTGAATTCATGACCTTTGGAATCAACGCTGGAGCAATAACTTAAGATGGAGACTAAATTTCGATGGTGGATGTTTCTTAGTGCTTTGCACTCAGCCTTGAAGCTCTTTGAAGCCCCATTCTTCTGAAGGTCAAGAACTTTAACTGCAACAAGCCTATCTTCGTGTTGATCTAGCCTGCCTTTGTAAACAATCCCAAAACTTCCTGATCCGATCAAGTTTTCTGGAGAAAATCCCAAAGTAGCACGATGGAGTTCATGGTAAGAAACTCTTAACAGCTTATCGACTGTTGGGAACACAAAAGATGAGCTGGCTTCTCTTCGATATCTTTTTTGGTATACCCCCAAATAGAACAACAATATTATACCAAGAGCCAAGAATGTTACTGGTAAAACTGTGGATAATAGAACAATGATCTTATGCTTTTCCTTTTTCTTTCCCATGAACAATTCAGTAATGCCTCCACAAAGTTTGCTGTTTCCCATCAAAACTATTAGGCTTGCATTCCCAAATATTCCGGTTGTTGGTATCTTCCCATAAAGGTCATTATAAGAAAGGTTCAGATACCTCAACGGCTGAAGTTTCTCAAGGTTTCTTGGTATTTGTCCAGTCAAGTTGTTAAATGAAAGGTCTAATACTTGGATGGCTTTCAGAGAAGCCAATTTTGAGGGAATCGTCCCTTCGAAAAAGTTGGCCTACATTTCAAGAGTCTTTAAATCCAAACAATCAACAAGCGATGGGGGTATTTCTCCAGAAAATCTGTTGTAGGCGACAGTGAAATTTATCATGTGCATCAGCTTTCCTACTTCCAGAGGTATAGAACCACTGAATGTGTTCTGTCTCAAACCCAGATATAATAGAAAGGTGTGCATCTCAAAAAACTCTGGTGATATAACACCACTAAGATTATTTATAGATACGTCCAGATGTTGCAGATTTCCACAGTTCATGAGAATACTGCCAAATACATCGCTGCCTTCAAAAAGATTGTCTGCTAAGCCCAGATGGTACAGAGAGCTAGTATTACATAAGTTTGACAAAATTTCTCCTGACAACCTGTTTCGTTCTAGACCCAAATATTGCAAGTTTTGAAATTTACCAAAGTCACTTGGTATGACTCCTGAAAGAGAATTCCATGACATGTCAAAGACAATTAGATTGACAAGATTTCCAAGTCCTTCTGGGATAGTTCCCCATAATTGATTTCCTTCAATGCCTAATTCAGTGAGTCCATGTGTAAGGTTTGCCAAGGACTTAGGTAACTCACCACCAAAATTGTTTTCATCTAAGAAAATCGTATATAGATTACTATTGTTTGTCAATGATCCAATGAAATTCAAGTCTCCTGTAGAATTTCTTCCTAACCAATTTCCGGAAAGTTCTATTAATTGAAGGTTTGATAGATCTCCTAAATTACTGTGAACTTGCCCTTCAAGCTTATAGTTATCAAGGTCAAGTTGCTCAAGCCTAGAAGCATTGGTGATGGAAAGTGGAATATTGCCATTGAAGTCGTTCGTCCCAATTTGTAGGACTTGCAGATTTGGTAGGGTGAGACCTACGTCGGTTGGAAGGTTGCCATGAAAAGAATTAACTGGTATTGAAAAGACATGGAGAGATGCTATGTTATAAACAGATGCAGGGATCCTACCAGATAATTGGTTTACTCCCACTCCTAATGAATGCAAGTTTTTAAGGAAGCCTATCTCCTTGGGCAGATTACGCTCCAAATTGTTATATGCAAGAAAGAGAGTTGTCAATGACGAAAGATTTCCGAGGGAGGAAGGAATCTCTCCTGTCAAATTGTTCTTAGAAAGATAAAGATTTTCAAGCTTCTTCAATTTGCTTAGCTCAATTGGAACTTTGCCTTCAAGTTTGTTGCTCGTAAGCGTAAGGCTTAACATATTTGAGCAGTTGCATAGACTAACAGGGATCTCTCCGCTCAGGAGGTTATATGATAGGTTAAGAAACCTTAGACGGAACAGATGACCAACCTCTTGTGGAATTTCACCATGGAACTGATTTTCCTCCAGATGGATGGATTTCATGAAGCTGAGATTTCCTATATGAGGAGATATGGTTCCAGACAAACCCCAGCCTGTTAGAGTTATGGCTGTGACCCTCTGATGTCGACTATCACATGTGATCCCCGGCCATCGGCAATGGTGTCGTGTTTGGTTCCACGAGTTCAATACAGCATATGGATCATCAGATATCTGACTCTTGAACTCCAGCAGAGCGAGTCTATCAGTTTCATTTTGAAGTCGATTGGTGGCTAAGGCATGATTTACTGCAGAATTGTTGATGGCAGCGAGAACTACAAGCAGGATCAGAATGTCCATTGAGATCAATGACCAAAATCCCCAAGAAATGGAACTTTGAAGCTCCATTACTGTTGAAAGAAGGAAAATAGCTCAATGTTGAGTTTGACAGGGGAGGATGAAATAATGTTAAGAAGCTCTGAGAAGTCCGAAGTGTATGAAAACTCAGGGAGAGATCTTTTCAGGGACTTTTGGAATCTGACTATTTCATTTTGATTATGACTGAAGTTGAAAGAGGCAAATGTAGATGGCGCACTCCATTGTTAACGACAAAGTGCTGCTCAGCTGTTTAGATTAGATAATTTCATCATATTTCATGCACTCAAGTCGACATTTTTGTGGTTTACCATTTTGCATCTATAACTGACTACTTTTCTGGTTAATATTCCTGGAGACCACACTTTGCTTCTGGTTAATATTCCTCATTTGGTTGCTAGATGCTAGATTAGGACAATGGTTTCTAAGCAATATGGTTTATTGGGGAAATGAGGGAATTTTTTTGGGCAAAATACACTTCACTCCCCTGTGTTTTAGCGATTCTTCACATAAACCCCTACAGTTTCAAAAGTTATAAAATAGAAAAATTGAACCTCAATTTGTGACTCTATTAAATTCTCATGTATACCCGTAGCTATTAAACTTCAAGATTTTTTTGATGTACCCTGACGCCAAGTGATTTTGGGAACAAATTGTTAGGGGGCCCAATGCAATTAACCCTACTGTTTTCCCCCCACTTTTGTTTTTGTAGAACACTGGAAACCTACTGACTGGGAATCATATATATATATATATATATATATAATAAAGTCGTATTTTCATACTTATCTCTTTGCGTTTTCTCTTTCCTACGTGGCTTAATGAGACGGCAAGTAGTTTCCTACGTGGCTTGCTACTTGTTTGTTTGGATGTATATCAATTCTTATTTCTTATAAGAATTCTTAATATTATGTGATTCTTATTTCCTACCCAAAAAAGGAACTAAAAAGTAATTCGATATAAATAAAAGAGACATAAATCTCCTCTATTAGATATATAAGAATAAATGATAATATATATTTTTTATAGTGTCCTTTTTAAAATTTTTTTTTACAGCTTCATCATACATCCTTTTTATTTTAAGATAATCTACCCGTATATAGAATAACGTACAAACAATCTAGACATGAAAATTAAAGAAAGTTAGCCCAAAAAAGATTTTACAAGACTCACAGTCCCCATGCATAATTGATGTACAAAGAGAAATAGCACTTCATCTGATTGAAAATTTCTGGAAAAGTCCATAAAGAAATTGTTAACCTTTTATTATTTTAATTGTTACAATATCTAGATAAACATAACTTTTAGAATATGTGTATTTATACAGGCATATGTTAAAAGTTTTGGCAAGTGATGCAACCGGGAGTGCTTGATTTGTTATATTTGATCAAGAGATTGAAAGAATAATAGAACACAAACTTTCTTTTGTTCTTGACAAATTTAACAAGGTAAACTTATATCTAATTTTTAAAAATATTTTTAATAAGAATTAATTTTTTCTACACTGACGGCGTATACACTATCAGCATTGAATGAATGACAACTATGCCAAATTTGAATTTAAAATTTAATTTTTGCACACGTGTCATGAATCCAACAATGATAGTATATACACTGTCAGTGTAGGAAAGATTTACTCTTTTAATAATAGTAGACAATCCGACACTTATCTTAGCCGTTGAATATTCTAAAAAAAAAAAAATCTATTATGCATTTCATTTTCAGGAAGGATTTAGCAGTGAAATCGTGTCATCAATTATAAATAAGATCACGAAGAAACCTTTTGTGTTCCAAATCAAGTTGAACAATTACAATTTGGAACAAGGTAGTAATAGATTTACAGTGACTAGATGGTTCCACTGTGATTTCGGGAGGGAAACACATCTCATGCTTTCACAGGTAATGTGCAATAAATTTCTCTTATATTTCACATATTATATCTCACATAATATTTTTGTTTTTAATTTTGATAAATCATTATCAGATTGGTGGAACCGACAACCAATACCAACCTCAAGCATTTTCTTCCCAGATCCCAATTAGTATAACAGATGATTCTAATCAACAGCATTTCAATACACTTCATATGAATCATTCATCAGAGGGTTCAACAAAAACCACAGAGGAAGGGAATCCTCATAAAAAGATTTGCATGAGAAGGTAGATTTAATATACTATTTTACTTTTTTAAATTATAATCTTTACGTATTGTTATACACAACTTTGAATGCAATAAATCATTTTTTTTCAATACTTAGTTATCATGCAGCGATAATGGAAAATCAATAAATGCTGATTTGCACGGACAGATCGAGGAGAATGTTCAAACAAAAGAAAAACAAAAACAAGTTTTTGAAGAATAGAATATTATTTGATACTATTTACTGCACTTTTTATTTATTTTCAAGTTTTTTAATGTTATGGTATTGTTGAATGATATTTTTTCTATTTTTGAATTATTATTCACTGAATTAGATATTCAAATTTATATTATAAGAATATGTTGTATTACAATGGACATATAGTAATATACTTAAGACAAGTTATAATAGATTATATATTAAATTTTTATTTTATATAGACATTTTATAAAATTAATTAAATAATTTATTATTTTTCAATGATTCCGTTCAACGAACAGGTACAAAACTAAATATCCTGACAATGGTGACTTACTGGCTGGGAAAACCTTTGCGCCATTGGTGAGCTTCGAGTTTGACTGGTCCAAGTGTTACGAGGGACCAATTCTGGTTGAGTCAACTTTCCTGTCTTCCCACCAAATCCAAATGCGACTAACGGTCAAGAACGATACATTGATCATCTTCCGGCGACAAAACTAACCCGCTAGTAAAGGATAAAATCATTTGGTATCCCTGAATTTTAAAAGTATCTCACCAACCTCCCTTATTTTAAACTTTTTTGTAACTTTGTCAACCCATTTCAAAGATATCATCATTTTGGGAAAGATAAAAAATTTTATTTCAAAATTACCGTTTTATTGTGGACCTTTACTTTTCATAACAAACCAATTGATATTCCTACAAACCTCGGGGGAGGTTTTTGAAATTATCCCAATTAAATAACAGCTCATATGTGTAGTGTGAGATTTGAATTCCCTGATGTAAATCTTCATGACCAACAAAAATCTCACTGGAGTTCTTCTTTATAGATATAAAATAATTTAAGAAGTGATTTTCTCGGTAATCTTTTTCAATTTTACAGATGATTAATTTTTGGATAAATTACTTATTATTCTAAGGTTTTAAAATAGCCACATAACCCCTCTGTGGTTTTATGTAAAGTGAAAAAATGAATAGAATGTACAATTAGTTATAGCATTTATATTAAACATGCTTAAAAAACGTGTGTGATAAAATCTTAATATCCATGTAATTCCTTTATGGTTTATAAATATTCACTTTACCCTGTTGTGATTTATGTATTTATACGCATAATTTCCCTATACTTTTACACAAGTTAGTCAAGCTGTTAATTGATTTAACAGTTAAGTAATGATACTATTGGCATTTCAACTAACGTACACAAGCTATTTTCTATCAAGTTTTCACTTTATATAAAATTATAGGGGTGAAGTGGATATTTTGAAATGTTATGAAGGCCAATAGATGAAACCACAGGGGGTTATATGTATTTTATCCTTAATTTTTAGACTTTCCTTAATTTGTTTCCAATCGACTGCTTTAGTGAATTGAGCTTATTCCGGAGCTGCTGTTGTTTCACTAGACGATCGGCTGCTTTTGCACCAGAAAAATAGACAGAAAAGGAAAATCTTCATCTATCAAAGTTCCGCAATGATCAAAACATTGATGCATTTTATGCATTTCAAACTGCACTAACGCATATACATTATCCAAGTTTTAATTGCAATTTATCAGTATTAATTTGACTCTAGAAGTATTTCAAAAGCTCCACTGACTGCTGGTATCTAGTCAACATTTTTGAAAGGCATCTCTGATGGGATGTAATTCTCTTGTGATTTCTTGCATGTCCATGCGATCTTTGGATGATTTTTTTGGAACATCCCAGTCCAACTTGAAAGATCGAATCAAGGCATTTTTGCACCTTGTTTATATCACCTGACAAACCTAGATCAATATGGTCTGTTGGAAAAATGAGAGAAATATTTTTTTTTAATCATTATTTTTTACTAACATCTGATATTGTCGATCATATAATAAAGAGTTAATCACAATAACTCCCCTTAAGATTTAACAAGTTTTACACTTTTCTTTCTAACATTATTTTCTTTTTCACTTTACCTCCCTAAACAATTAGTCAACTCTAACACTGCGTAACAAAAATGTCAAAAGGACATTGAACTCCAAATCTAGCTACTAATAGTAACGGTTAGATGTATGCATATTTCCAAAGAGAAACTGACAATATCCCATTCATTTTGGATTTTAAAAATATTTTCACATTTTAATTTTTAATAACAATTTTTGTTTGTCTTTCCCATTATTAAATCAAATTAGCAAGATATTCTCCTTAATCTTAAAAAAAGTGAAATTATGGAATGAAATTTAACTTGAACCAAATATATATAAAACTATTTTTTTATTATTATGCTAGGAATATTGATTTTTTAGATATTAATTGTCCTAGGTGTTATCAAATATTAAAGTTCACTAATGACTTTTTTTTTTTTTTTTGGTTGCCTGCCACGGTATCCAGGGCTTTGCCCTGACTAATCCGTTGGTCGACCCGGGTCGCACACCTGGCTGTGGTGGGTGAGTCTCCCACCACTAATGACTTTAGTAATAAACAAACAAATTGATAAAAAATGATGTTAGGAGATAAAGTGTAAAACAAGTTATGCTTTAAAGCAATTCATCACAGTTAATTCTTAGGGGTATAAATATCTTTTAGACATCATCATTACACAATATTAGAGTTGACTAACGGTTTAGAAGATAAAAAGAGAAAATATAATGTTAGGGACAAAGTGCAAAAGTGGTTATACCTTGGGGGGATATTCATTCAAGTTCTTAAGATATTGAATATTTTCTATG